TCCATGGAGGGCTTTGTCCTCCCACTGCTTTGTTAATTTTTCTTGGGTCTTATTTCGTGCCATTTGTTTGGTTCTCTTTGCATATTTGGTGGTTGTTTCCTCTGCTTGTTTGTCTGGTATTGTTAGGTCTAGTTCGTGTTTGAATTGTTCTGCTTGCCTTTGTATAGAGTACAATTTCTTTCTGCCATCATGTTCTTGCACTAGTTCGAAGGAATATTATTATTATTATTATTATTATTATTATTATTATTATTATATTATTATTATTGTTATTTCAATTTTTCGTATGTGACAACTTTTATTTCTCATATAAAAGCTAACACACCAACTTTTCAGCAAACATATCTGTCACATAAAAATTGGCCAATTTTTCTCATCTACATGAGCAAATCATGCGGGTGTGTGGACGAGGCTTAAAACAATGGCTAGTGTAGACTCAAATAGACTCTAAGAACAAATCCATAATTTCCCTGCTATTTTAAAACTTATCGTGAGTTTTACAGTTTTAATACCACTATGAAGAAGGACAATCACTGTCACAGAACTTTAAAACTTCAATTTTTAGAATTAGTTTTCGAACGCATTTCAGTCTCGGACTTTGCGAAAGCGTGGGTACGTTTGATTGTACTGGAAATCATTTGAATTGAATTGATTGAATTTTTTCTGCTGATTTTAGGCCGAAAATATTCTTGTGAATATTTTTAGATTAGATGATATTTCTGTTTTCGGATGTGTTTGGCAGCTGGATGGTGTTAAAGCAATTTTGGAACGAGCCTGTAGGCATCAAAGCCTGATATCAACCACATAACTTCTTGCAGAAATGTTAAAAATTATTATTTATCGAACATAGGGCTAGTGCTGTTACGTTTTTGTTGGTTTTTTTTGCTAGTTTTGCCGTTTAGAGAAAGGAATAATTTTATACGGTTTAGTTAAAAACATCATGAATTGTATCGTGTTTACAAATTTTCAACACGCAATATTCATTTCAAAATTTCAACCTAGGGTTTATTCTTGAAATATTTTTTAAAATTTCGAAAATTTCAGCCTCGATATTCTTATAAAACATATTCTTCTCCTTGCTTAAGGATTGAACAAGATAGTTGATAGGTGATAGCTGCATCGGCCTTTGACCTCATCAACTATCATCCGATATATAGAGATGTCGAGCACATGATCTAATTTTCAGAATAGACACTATTCGTTAATTAGCAAATTGACTCATTCCATTCTGAGCAAATTCCTGTCTCAAACCTTTTCCGCGCAGACACACCCACACCGGCGTGTTACACCCAAAACAGAGATTTTGACGGGGTAGCTTTCCGTAGGCGATGCTGCCTCAGATAATACAAAACGAAATAGACGAGGCTGTTTTTAAGCTAGGAAAACACAGTTTCGCTTGTCCTACGCCAGTCAAATAGTTCAAATCGTGTCATATCTCATCTGTTTACCGAAGACTAATTAAACGATGACATTGCGTAATCGTGCGACGAATTAAACCCTTCCTCGTTCTTGAGCTGAGGTGAAGTATTTCACCTTTTCACTCCCACGCAACAAACCTTTTGAAACGCAATATTTTTGTTTGTCATCTTAAGGCACTTAACTCCAGAACACGCTAATGAAATCTTTATCCGATGTCGTCTATATTATGTCTGCGCCCAAAAGGACGTGACCTCGGCAGCTAAAGTTTACAGGGATTTGACAAGCGGTGAAAAAATAAAATATTTTGCGTGGAGAACCTTTAAAACAATTCTTAGCGAATAACCGCGAAGGGTTAAATCACTATTTTTGCTTTTCCAATCAAAATATCACAATTTGTGGAAAATTCTAGACTGAGTAAACGTAATTGAAGTGACGTTCACAGCCTCTTTCGAACATCCAAAAAATGATGTAATTGTTGAAAAGAGCCTAATTTTAGAGTTTTATTGACAAAAGGCAGTCGGAATTGTAAGTGGCTTATCTAGAGATAAACACCACGCCAAATCCGGTCTTATCCACTCGTGTCAGGCAGCTATCAAAAAAGAAACACTGAAATTTAAAAAAAAAAAGTGGTAAATCATGGTCACGTACACTATAAGACCCACAAGAAAGCGGACCTGATGAAGTCGTTCGTTTCGTTACCAAAATTGGCATGATAGTTGAGAGCCCGGAACAATCCATCGCTATATGGCAAGCTAGCCAATGGCATCAGTACCAAGAACAGATCTTGAGCTGGCCCCTCGATAAATCCTTCCAGATTCTCTTGAGCCAATTTAGAGCCTTGGAAAATTTCCTCTCTGATAAGCTAACTGTCTCTTAGTAGATTTTGCCTAATTATTGAGCTTGCGTTAACAATGTCTAACCCTGCATCAATCATGATGTTAGCTGAGTTAATTTCTACTTCGAAATCAAGGATTTCTGTTGTTACTCATTTGATGTTCCAAAGATTACATCCGGAACTACAACTCAATGCCAACAGCTGACGTCCTTGAAAGGCTCCCACATGTGCATGCCCCCACTCAAAGCGGCCCATGGTGGAGTTACTCAGCTGACATTTAAATCAGTTTCGTATCGAATCACTGAAGATTTACTTCAGGCCGAATGACCAGGGCTGGAGAGCTGAATGTCTGACCACGAGCAGCGCGCAACAAAGAGAAATAAACAAGCTGTTTTAAAATTCTCTTTCATCAAAATAAACCCTTATTCACCAGTTGTGCGTCATGCAAGCCGGTAGAAATAACAATGATATTTCATCGCACCAAATCCACTAGTTGCTTAAGGTGCTTTGCATTGACAATATTTTCTTTCCAAAGAAATTAGAAAAAATACACGGATGACTGTGCCCTCTCTGAAGCACTGGGCTAGCTATGTTACCTCTCAAAAACAGATACGTGACCCTTAAATTAAGAATAGTCCCAATATTCCCAAAATTGTTTAACGTCTGTAATAACTGAGTACATGCATGTGTAGTTCATTTTTCGCTGATTTCCGTTTTACTTTGTTTCACGGAAAACTTCAATCAATGTAATGAGATAAGGAAATGAAATTCGATGTTGGACGGTTCGTTGATAGCTGGTAGAAAGCGTCGTACGAACGTATCTTGGCAAAATGTCCAATATTGATCATTTTTCAAGGTGAAAGAGTAAAACTATACGGCGCAATAATGGACAAAAAAAAAATCGAAATTTAACAAAAAAATTCGATTGAAAACATTTGCTTCTGCAAAATCGAGACCAGCCTTTCAAGGGTGACTTAGGCTTAGAAAGATAGCACAGTAAGACTTTAAACTTGAAAAATCGTTTAAGCCAATTATAAATTGTCTTTGTATAAACAACTCTTCATCATAGCGTCTCTGCGCATTGTTGATTAGTTAAGTTATCGGACGCTTTCCGTTTTCTGAAAACTCGGCTCTGAGGTAAAAAAAAAGGAGTAAAACTTTTGCAGAGTTTTCGACGCCGGAGTTAAACGCACTAAGATCTGTTTAATACAAGGATGCAAGAAACGATATACAGAGGTCATGTCTTCTATTTAATATCCTTGACTCTCAGTTTTAAATGTCTTAAGACGGCTGAGCCACAAATATTTTTTACAGAAAAAAAAAACGCACAAACACAAGTGCCGTGGTTAGTCGAACCGCTGAGATTTTGCGCGACTGATTGTTTTTTTTATAGGTACTTAACAGGTGTACCACCCTGCAAGGCCAGGCTAGAAGGTGTACGTCTACGACTTTGTCTGTGAAACAGCGATTAATGCAACAGCCAATACACAGATGCATTACGGGAATACTAGAGCTTTTGTGTCGGGTTAAGAATTTTCACCTTTTCTATTCATGGGCCATTATCGTTTCAGCCGAACCTGATATGTGTGACGATCATCAATTTACGAGCACACGATTTCGATAGCTATCTTTCCTACCAGCCTAAACTACCTCAATCATGCTGCCTCGATTAGACGTCCTTTTTCGAATAAGATCGTAAAATCAATATTTTGTATGTATTTCGAACAGCTGTGCATAATTCTGCGACCGTGACTCCATGCTGGGCCATTAGTTTTGCTCATTATGCTAAACAAAGGAACATAGAAAGGGTATAAAGAACAACGAACAAGATTTCCGGCGAAGAGATTTCAATAATTACCACAATGTCCACAGGAAAGCCTGCAGTTTCCAAATTAATCTCATTTTGGTGTCTCCGGGGGCCAACAGATACTCTCTCTTTAATTGTCTTTTATCGTCAAGCATGAAAAGCTTTCGTTAGCCTCCTGCTATTGCAGCGTGTTTAGAATTCCAAGTTAGTTGTAAGGTCCAAGTTGAAATGGCCCTAAAAGGCAAAAATGCTCAGAAAGTATAATTATGCCTGATTGGTTGGGCAACCTTTGAAATTGAATGACTGATCAGAATCTGACTTCTCTTACTATTATCAGTATAAAGTAACCGACACAGGTTATGAGAAAAAAGGAATTCATTACAGGATGTGTCATGGTGCATCTGATAAGATTACTGTACGATGAGAGACTTCAGCTGACAACTGTCATAAGAAATCATCGAACCAGAAGATAACTAAAAATGCCTCACTTTTTACAACAGCCGTGAAGATTTTCAGTTTCTATTTTATACAATAGACAAACAACTCTAAAGACAGGTAAACTGCAGCTGGATCGCGAGTAATCAGCCAATCAATTGTTTCCAGGATTCAAGAGTTCCTGACATCGGCAGCTGAGACAGTTGAGAACTGAAAAAAAAAAAAAAAACTATGACGCAATTCATCTGATTCACAGATGTGTAGTTGACGTCATTTCACGTTCAGTTGACATCATGGCAGAGAATACCCTTGCAATAAACGAGCAAATTTCTACATACAACCTGAGACAATCAGATTTTTCTACTCCTAGATACAACACTGTTACTTATGGGAAGCACTCTTTGCGTTATGTAGGACCCAAATTATGGGGCAAACTGTCTATGGCTGACAGATCAGCCAAGACACTGCAGGCGTTTACAAACTACATTCGCAAAAGGGATATAACTCGCTTAATGGACACCGGCTGTAAGGGCTGCATCCTATGCTGCACGTAATGCCTTTCAAGTCATTTATTTTTTTATTGTATTAATATTAATATTAGTATTAGTATAGTTTTTTTTAGCAGTGTCCCCTAATTAGTATGGTGTTTTTATTCCCAAACTCACTCACTCACTCACCCAATGAAAGCCAAAAGCATCTGCTGAAAACAGTTAAATTCACAATGGAGTTGCTGTCTGTTTATCAACTTTCGACGGTAATCAAAACTGTTTAAACAGTGAATTGAAGCCAGACGTCATTATGGCGGTTTGACATTTAAATGTTACTAAAAAAGGTACCAAGTGACTGCTTATGCGTGTGGTGGCCATCTTGATCGCAGGAGTCCCAGATTTCACGACTAAGCATTTGCCTCTGGAAACATGCCGGCAAATGGGAAAAATATAGTTATCACTTGTGAACTCGCGCTGTGAAAACAACTTGCGTGCCTTTCCTCTTGTTACACAGAAATGTCATGAAAATGCATGAATATAATATCGAAAACTTAGCATTTGGAGACAGGAATTGAATTCGTTAAACGTTCAATCAGTAGAAGTCCACTAATATTATTGTTATTAGCTGGTCAGCGGTAATTTTCATAACATAAACGCTTGTGGTGTTGTTGACAGTCGGGACACGGGATTTTTTTGGTCCTTCGATATATAAGGACCCGTAAAATGTTGCTACTGTTGCTATTTTGCGGCTTAAAAACAAGTCAATCCATTGAGTGTGTTTTGATTTATCGCGGTATTAATCCAGGCGGCAATTTTCAGACCATAATTCTAAATTGTAAAAAGAAATGGTTTCCGTGCATTTTAATGCCATAAAGATTGCTTTACGCAAACAGTAGTCATTCAAATCCGTGTCTGTCTTCGAGAAATGAATAAATAGCCACTTAACTGCCATCAGTAATAAAGAAAGCTATTTATAATCGTTGTCTCGACCAATTTCGTGGGTCACGTATGCCAATTACACCAACAGATCGGATACAGACACGATTAAAACGTCGCGCAACCTTGTACCTCTTTACAAAGCGTTTTTCTCTCGCCCCGCAAATAATATCCAAAAGCGGTATAAGCTGTATATTATCCCTGATGAACGCAGGGCTCGTCATCTGTGCGACCGAAGCGGAAATTTCGTATGTTCTCCACATCTCTTGAAGGAGCTTGAGAGTGGAAACCGATCTCTCAAGTGTGTAAAGCGATACAGTTGACGCAAAGCAAGCGTACCGGATTTGCCTCACGTGAAAACATCAATATATTTAAAACTGCTCTTGACAGCTGGCATATTAATGCAAACGAGCCTTGTTTGATTAGCAAAGAACTGAGTCCATACAAACGACAGTTCTGTCACAATTTTACACAAGAAAAGTGGATTCTAGAAGTGGAAAGGTGTAAGCCTGAGTCAGCTGTCTGTATTTTTGCTACCAAGTCCCCTGGGAGATACAACATTGCAAGCATAAACTGAGCGATAGCCGCCAAATAATTTTATGCCGAGAACAATGCCGCATACGCAACCGCCTGTGAGAGGGGGCAGTGGAGCGAATTGTAATGATTAATTTAAACCATGTCATGTCATCAAGATCTCTCGATTATTATCGTGAAATTCGATTAGTGTAACACAGAGTTCCAAAGCGAAAAGTAACACGCGAGACGCACGATAACAAGCTGGCGTGAAAGAAGACACGAAGGCAATACACATCACGAGAAGCGTGTTAGAAGATTAATTGTTTAGTCTGCACAATCAACTTTATCGATTTGCAGGAAGGAAAAACGATTTGGCCCCGAGTGGTGAGTTTGCGTATCACTGGACTGTCAATTACCGTTGTTTTCAGCGCTTCGTTGTCGAAGTGGATTTCAACGGCTTCCATATCTGACTCGGAAGAGAAAATCGTGCTGATCTGACCACAACATGGAACCGAGTACGGTTTCATTTGATCATTGTTGATACATAAGAACCCCTCTCGAACACAAACACGGAAAATGCCGAGTTAAACAACGAGTCAAATCTGCGTCGACTGAACCTCAAACACGACATCTTCGGGACATGATCAGCCTCTTCTCTTGTCGCCCACTGGGATCACGATCAAACGCACTGGGAGCTGACGGCGAGTGGGATTACCAACGAGTGAACTTCAACATACACACGCCGACCTACTCTGTCAAGTACCTGGGTTCCCAACAGTTGTGCAGTCCGGGTTTCGCGGAGATCTGTGACACCGTGAAAGCCATTTTCGCCCAAGAGAAACCCAGGCTGAAATCTTTGGACCACTACTCGCTGAAGCTGACCAAAGAGGAGCTGTCGCTACGCGACAGGGATAGTACGGAAGACGAAGAGAAGGTCTTTCTGCTCCGGAGGATTCGATTCAGCGGAGTGTCCAAAGCTTATCAGAGAGTCTTCTTCTTCACCTATCAGTTCGGATCAAAAGCAGCATCGGTGGAATGCAATGTAGTGTTGTGCAAGAGCAACAAAGAAGCCAAGAGTTTGGCAAAGGTAATATCGAAAGCCTTCGGGGACGCGCGTAGCGAGTTTCATCATCAGGAGGTGGCGAGCAGAAAACTTCACGCCGAAGGGTTGAGCGAGAACAGCATATCGCATCTTCATGTGGACGCGATCTCAAATGTCGAAGCTAATAGACAGTATTACAACATGAGTGCTTTTAAGAATTCTCGCAGCAACTCTGCGGCTAGCGCGATTAGCTCAGACTTTCGCTCCAAAAGCCGGACCCCAGATAAGCTTAAACGAAGCAACCAGTCCTGCCATTTGGGTGCGAGTATAGAATGGGAGAGAACGGAAAGTTCGCTTGACACGAGGCAGAGCGACGTAGAAAAGACATCGACTAGCGGCGAGACATTTGGTTGTACTTGCGAGAAAGAACCAATTGTCAAAATCGAATCTTTGAGTACTACAACTGTCAATGACAAACAAATAAATGAGGTGCCCGGGTGCTTGGAAATTGCAACCGAACAAGAGCTCGACGATGGAGCAAGCAACGACCTAGACAGTAACGATTTTGCGCGGAGTAGTTCAACTCTAGCAGCTGAAGAAAAAGAGGCTCAACCACTTGGCAATCACAACAGCAAAGCTAGTTGCGACTGGTCCATGGTCTCCGGCCTCGAGGAAACCTCGATATAGCAAGATGTCGGCAGTTTATTGTTGAATGTTGGATAATTTTAACACGACAAAACAACACTACTTGGTGGTTAGTTTTGAATATTACTTCGTCGGAAGGCGTCAAGTGGCAATTTTTACAAGATAAGCATTTGCAACAAAGATAGCTTCAGCCATTGTATACATTCGTCACGTCTTATTTCGGAGAAGTTTCCCGATTCAGAGAAAGAAAATTCAGATCGAACAAAGAGGGTTGTTTATGGCGGCATTCGCGAAATGAGTGACGAAGAAAGAAGTAAACCGCGTATTATTTTATTATGCCCTTAAGTTCGCCTCTTAACGCTACGGACAATAGACTACAAAACAGATTACAGATATGCAAACATTCGTTTGTTAATCTGTCATGGCTGAGCGAACTAGTCGAAATTCTTCAACTTTTAGCGGGTGATCATGTCGCCTTGCGAAGCGCACTAAGTACATAAATTAACTCAATTGTACCGCACAGCGGCGAACTTCAATTTTGTAAAAAGAGCACATTCACAGATCCGACACTATTAAACTGCGCGAGATTTATCGAAAGATTTGGGACGCGAAAGCCCACAATATTGTTTTCAATCGCTCGGTTCCTGTGTGCTCAACTCATTTATTCAAGAGTCATTGTCACTAAATGCAAATATGATTGAAATGTGGACTCTTTAGGAGCGTAGGAGTTGGTAGGACATTATTTGTCTTCTTGGCAACTCGATGTCCGGACATTTCAAATACTTTTTGTTCCGTAATTGCATCGCACAAATAATCGATCGTTGTTCTTTAGTGTTGTTTAACTTTTGGCCCCGTCAAGCCAATAATAGTGTTTACGTTGCGAATTCTTTGTGTTTGGAATCTATTAACTAAAATAAAAGACATGACATCAGCCAATATGCTCACAGCATTGGAAGTGTTTTCGAGAAGAATAAGCGAGCAATAAGAGTTATTTTGTGATGCGATATTCTACGGGTTTAGCATTGCTCCTTCCATTCTACTGTATCACTCGTATCGGATTTATGTCAGCGTTAAAATCCAATCTTGGTATATCAAGTCTCGACGTTTTCAATTTTGGGTTTTCAGTTCGCTTTTGTCAATATGTGCCACGGGCCACTAAGAAATGACATATTACCTTACATTCTGAAGACTGATTGATGGATTTGATTTGATTTTTATTTGATGTTTTGCCCCATTTGGACATATTTCATTTACAGCCGGGAAGTATTGCGGACAGGACATCTAAGCAAACGTTTCAGTGCATTTGACGGATTTACATTTGCGGTGAATATTCCAACTTGTCTACCTCTCGTGCATGATACATGCACGTGTACACGGGGAAATATTTTCTAGGGTTTACCCCTTTCAAAGGATTAGGAAGAGAAGACAATAAACGTCTTTCCTGTTTTCGGATTACATGAAGTCGAGATAGACGTTTCTTTCAATTTCAACCTAAATTCCATACCATGTAACCTGCATATCCGGATGTAAACTACATACCTTGAATTTCAAGGCGGTTACTGAAACCGTGACGAACTGAAAACAATTCTTTTCCCAGCTTGTGACATTCAGTGATCGACCTCAAGTCAAATTTCCAGCTTTTGAACCAAGCCGGCATACTTCAAAAACTATCAGTCACAGACCTCTAATCAGCCAGTTGGTCAGTCACACTTTTCGACAAACTCTAATTAACTAGTATCAACCCGAAGAGTCCAGATGACTAACGGTTTCCCACGCCGTGAGCGAAAGCGCAAGAAAGTTCCGGTTTTTTTTCCCGTGGAGCCTGTAGGCAAAACAATTAACCCCGAGTATCATTGGCAATAATTTAACTGTCCATAGACAGTCGCGAGATCCGTAATTAAATTTAAGGGCAAAATTAGAGCGTCTAAACCTTTGTGCATCATCATAATTATAAAATGTCAAAACCAGTTCGGGAATGAAGTATATAGTGAAAATTGACGCCTTTTTACTCCAGCGGCAATCTGACTTTATACAGTCTAACTCGTCCATTTATCTGCTAAATAATCCTTGTGTGTCGCTATTCAAGCGAAAAGCCGCTAGTTTCATGGGGTGTTATTCTTATTCTGCAAAATCGATGTGTTTTTTTTTTTGTTTTTTGTTTTTTCGTTTCTTCCTTTCTTGCGTTTCTGAACTTGACTGCACTTTGCGTGTGGTTAGGACTAATTGAAATTGAGAGTTTATTATCACGTCCATTTCCTTTGTCCGGATTTTATCCTTATTGTGATCTAGTGATCGGGGTTAATTATCCATATTCCAGTGAATTCTGGCTTTTTTTCAAAGTTTATGTAATGAGAAATGTCCATTTAATTACTTCTTTAATTTCCAACTTCTCAGCCTAGCGTGTTCGCCGTTAGCTTGCGAGCAGGCTCACCTTTGAGTCACGCGCGCGAGTAGTGAAGAGCAAAGCGATCCGGCCGGAAGGATCGCGGCTTCGCCGCTCGATTTCGCGCTCGCAGTTACGCCTCGCGTGGCGCTTGNCACCCAATGAAAGCCAAAAGCATCTGCTGAAAACAGTTAAATTCACAATGGAGTTGCTGTCTGTTTATCAACTTTCGACGGTAATCAAAACTGTTTAAACAGTGAATTGAAGCCAGACGTCATTATGGCGGTTTGACATTTAAATGTTACTAAAAAAGGTACCAAGTGACTGCTTATGCGTGTGGTGGCCATCTTGATCGCAGGAGTCCCAGATTTCACGACTAAGCATTTGCCTCTGGAAACATGCCGGCAAATGGGAAAAATATAGTTATCACTTGTGAACTCGCGCTGTGAAAACAACTTGCGTGCCTTTCCTCTTGTTACACAGAAATGTCATGAAAATGCATGAATATAATATCGAAAACTTAGCATTTGGAGACAGGAATTGAATTCGTTAAACGTGCAATCAGTAGAAGTCCACTAATATTATTGTTATTAGCTGGTCAGCGGTAATTTTCATAACATAAACGCTTGTGGTGTTGTTGACAGTCGGGACACGGGATTTTTTTGGTCCTTCGATATATAAGGACCCGTAAAATGTTGCTATTGTTGCTATTTTGCGGCTTAAAAACAAGTCAATCCATTGAGTGTGTTTTGATTTATCGCGGTATTAATCCAGGCGGCAATTTTCAGACCATAATTCTAAATTGTAAAAAGAAATGGTTTCCGTGCATTTTAATGCCATAAAGATTGCTTTACGCAAACAGTAGTCATTCAAATCCGTGTCTGTCTTCGAGAAATGAATAAATAGCCACTTAACTGCCATCAGTAATAAAGAAAGCTATTTATAATCGTTGTCTCGACCAATTTCGTGGGTCACGTATGCCAATTACACCAACAGATCGGATACAGACACGATTAAAACGTCGCGCAACCTTGTACCTCTTTACAAAGCGTTTTTCTCTCGCCCCGCAAATAATATCCAAAAGCGGTATAAGCTGTATATTATCCCTGATGAACGCAGGGCTCGTCATCTGTGCGACCGAAGCGGAAATTTCGTATGTTCTCCACATCTCTTGAAGGAGCTTGAGAGTGGAAACCGATCTCTCAAGTGTGTAAAGCGATACAGTTGACGCAAAGCAAGCGTACCGGATTTGCCTCACGTGAAAACATCAATATATTTAAAACTGCTCTTGACAGCTGGCATATTAATGCAAACGAGCCTTGTTTGATTAGCAAAGAACTGAGTCCATACAAACGACAGTTCTGTCACAATTTTACACAAGAAAAGTGGATTCTAGAAGTGGAAAGGTGTAAGCCTGAGTCAGCTGTCTGTATTTTTGCTACCAAGTCCCCTGGGAGATACAACATTGCAAGCATAAACTGAGCGATAGCCGCCAAATAATTTTATGCCGAGAACAATGCCGCATACGCAACCGCCTGTGAGAGGGGGCAGTGGAGCGAATTGTAATGATTAATTTAAACCATGTCATGTCATCAAGATCTCTCGATTATTATCGTGAAATTCGATTAGTGTAACACAGAGTTCCAAAGCGAAAAGTAACACGCGAGACGCACGATAACAAGCTGGCGTGAAAGAAGACACGAAGGCAATACACATCACGAGAAGCGTGTTAGAAGATTAATTGTTTAGTCTGCACAATCAACTTTATCGATTTGCAGGAAGGAAAAACGATTTGGCCCCGAGTGGTGAGTTTGCGTATCACTGGACTGTCAATTACCGTTGTTTTCAGCGCTTCGTTGTCGAAGTGGATTTCAACGGCTTCCATATCTGACTCGGAAGAGAAAATCGTGCTGATCTGACCACAACATGGAACCGAGTACGGTTTCATTTGATCATTGTTGATACATAAGAACCCCTCTCGAACACAAACACGGAAAATGCCGAGTTAAACAACGAGTCAAATCTGCGTCGACTGAACCTCAAACACGACATCTTCGGGACATGATCAGCCTCTTCTCTTGTCGCCCACTGGGATCACGATCAAACGCACTGGGAGCTGACGGCGAGTGGGATTACCAACGAGTGAACTTCAACATACACACGCCGACCTACTCTGTCAAGTACCTGGGTTCCCAACAGTTGTGCAGTCCGGGTTTCGCGGAGATCTGTGACACCGTGAAAGCCATTTTCGCCCAAGAGAAACCCAGGCTGAAATCTTTGGACCACTACTCGCTGAAGCTGACCAAAGAGGAGCTGTCGCTACGCGACAGGGATAGTACGGAAGACGAAGAGAAGGTCTTTCTGCTCCGGAGGATTCGATTCAGCGGAGTGTCCAAAGCTTATCAGAGAGTCTTCTTCTTCACCTATCAGTTCGGATCAAAAGCAGCATCGGTGGAATGCAATGTAGTGTTGTGCAAGAGCAACAAAGAAGCCAAGAGTTTGGCAAAGGTAATATCGAAAGCCTTCGGGGACGCGCGTAGCGAGTTTCATCATCAGGAGGTGGCGAGCAGAAAACTTCACGCCGAAGGGTTGAGCGAGAACAGCATATCGCATCTTCATGTGGACGCGATCTCAAATGTCGAAGCTAATAGACAGTATTACAACATGAGTGCTTTTAAGAATTCTCGCAGCAACTCTGCGGCTAGCGCGATTAGCTCAGACTTTCGCTCCAAAAGCCGGACCCCAGATAAGCTTAAACGAAGCAACCAGTCCTGCCATTTGGGTGCGAGTATAGAATGGGAGAGAACGGAAAGTTCGCTTGACACGAGGCAGAGCGACGTAGAAAAGACATCGACTAGCGGCGAGACATTTGGTTGTACTTGCGAGAAAGAACCAATTGTCAAAATCGAATCTTTGAGTACTACAACTGTCAATGACAAACAAATAAATGAGGTGCCCGGGTGCTTGGAAATTGCAACCGAACAAGAGCTCGACGATGGAGCAAGCAACGACCTAGACAGTAACGATTTTGCGCGGAGTAGTTCAACTCTAGCAGCTGAAGAAAAAGAGGCTCAACCACTTGGCAATCACAACAGCAAAGCTAGTTGCGACTGGTCCATGGTCTCCGGCCTCGAGGAAACCTCGATATAGCAAGATGTCGGCAGTTTATTGTTGAATGTTGGATAATTTTAACACGACAAAACAACACTACTTGGTGGTTAGTTTTGAATATTACTTCGTCGGAAGGCGTCAAGTGGCAATTTTTACAAGATAAGCATTTGCAACAAAGATAGCTTCAGCCATTGTATACATTCGTCACGTCTTATTTCGGAGAAGTTTCCCGATTCAGAGAAAGAAAATTCAGATCGAACAAAGAGGGTTGTTTATGGCGGCATTCGCGAAATGAGTGACGAAGAAAGAAGTAAACCGCGTATTATTTTATTATGCCCTTAAGTTCGCCTCTTAACGCTACGGACAATAGACTACAAAACAGATTACAGATATGCAAACATTCGTTTGTTAATCTGTCATGGCTGAGCGAACTAGTCGAAATTCTTCAACTTTTAGCGGGTGATCATGTCGCCTTGCGAAGCGCACTAAGTACATAAATTAACTCAATTGTACCGCACAGCGGCGAACTTCAATTTTGTAAAAAGAGCACATTCACAGATCCGACACTATTAAACTGCGCGAGATTTATCGAAAGATTTGGGACGCGAAAGCCCACAATATTGTTTTCAATCGCTCGGTTCCTGTGTGCTCAACTCATTTATTCAAGAGTCATTGTCACTAAATGCAAATATGATTGAAATGTGGACTCTTTAGGAGCGTAGGAGTTGGTAGGACATTATTTGTCTTCTTGGCAACTCGATGTCCGGACATTTCAAATACTTTTTGTTCCGTAATTGCATCGCACAAATAATCGATCGTTGTTCTTTAGTGTTGTTTAACTTTTGGCCCCGTCAAGCCAATAATAGTGTTTACGTTGCGAATTCTTTGTGTTTGGAATCTATTAACTAAAATAAAAGACATGACATCAGCCAATATGCTCACAGCATTGGAAGTGTTTTCGAGAAGAATAAGCGAGCAATAAGAGTTATTTTGTGATGCGATATTCTACGGGTTTAGCATTGCTCCTTCCATTCTACTGTATCACTCGTATCGGATTTATGTCAGCGTTAAAATCCAATCTTGGTATATCAAGTCTCGACGTTTTCAATTTTGGGTTTTCAGTTCGCTTTTGTCAATATGTGCCACGGGCCACTAAGAAATGACATATTACCTTACATTCTGAAGACTGATTGATGGATTTGATTTGATTTTTATTTGATGTTTTGCCCCATTTGGACATATTTCATTTACAGCCGGGAAGTATTGCGGACAGGACATCTAAGCAAACGTTTCAGTGCATTTGACGGATTTACATTTGCGGTGAATATTCCAACTTGTCTACCTCTCGTGCATGATACATGCACGTGTACACGGGGAAATATTTTCTAGGGTTTACCCCTTTCAAAGGATTAGGAAGAGAAGACAATAAACGTCTTTCCTGTTTTCGGATTACATGAAGTCGAGATAGACGTTTCTTTCAATTTCAACCTAAATTCCATACCATGTAACCTGCATATCCGGATGTAAACTACATACCTTGAATTTCAAGGCGGTTACTGAAACCGTGACGAACTGAAAACAATTCTTTTCCCAGCTTGTGACATTCAGTGATCGACCTCAAGTCAAATTTCCAGCTTTTGAACCAAGCCGGCATACTTCAAAAACTATCAGTCACAGACCTCTAATCAGCCAGTTGGTCAGTCACACTTTTCGACAAACTCTAATTAACTAGTATCAACCCGAAGAGTCCAGATGACTAACGGTTTCCCACGCCGTGAGCGAAAGCGCAAGAAAGTTCCGGTTTTTTTTCCCGTGGAGCCTGTAGGCAAAACAATTAACCCCGAGTATCATTGGCAATAATTTAACTGTCCATAGACAGTCGCGAGATCCGTAATTAAATTTAAGGGCAAAATTAGAGCGTCTAAACCTTTGTGCATCATCATAATTATAAAATGTCAAAACCAGTTCGGGAATGAAGTATATAGTGAAAATTGACGCCTTTTTACTCCAGCGGCAATCTGACTTTATACAGTCTAACTCGTCCATTTATCTGCTAAATAATCCTTGTGTGTCGCTATTCAAGCGAAAAGCCGCTAGTTTCATGGGGTGTTATTCTTATTCTGCAAAATCGATGTGTTTTTTTTTTTGTTTTTTGTTTTTTCGTTTCTTCCTTTCTTGCGTTTCTGAACTTGACTGCACTTTGCGTGTGGTTAGGACTAATTGAAATTGAGAGTTTATTATCACGTCCATTTCCTTTGTCCGGATTTTATCCTTATTGTGATCTAGTGATCGGGGTTAATTATCCATATTCCAGTGAATTCTGGCTTTTTTTCAAAGTTTATGTAATGAGAAATGTCCATTTAATTACTTCTTTAATTTCCAACTTCTCAGCCTAGCGTGTTCGCCGTTAGCTTGCGAGCAGGCTCACCTTTGAGTCACGCGCGCGAGTAGTGAAGAGCAAAGCGATCCGGCCGGAAGGATCGCGGCTTCGCCGCTCGATTTCGCGCTCGCAGTTACGCCTCGCGTGGCGCTTGTGGTCCAACGTGAGCCTGCTCGCCGGCTAGTTCGTCGTGCCAAAAACACCTTGTTGTAAAAAAGATATCGTCTTCCAAGTATTTCTTACACTTTTTTTTTTTCCGGCTTCACAAAATTGTTTTAAAAGGTACAGTAGGTTCACGTCATCAAAGTTATTTCAAAGCTTAAACTAATGCATGGTTAAATCAGTGAAGCTGTCCTTTTAATTTTACGTCTTGTAAACACATGCGTTTACGAAAACGCCTCGTAATATCCGAAATTAACTCTGACTAAGCTTTTAAACGAAACTCTGTGAAACTAGTCAGCCTGCAAGGCAGGCGTAACACGAGGCAGAGGGGGCAGGGAGCAGAGGGAAGGCCCCTACCCTTTCCCCGTTAGGCTATATTTATTCAGTGTGACTATTCTTTCCGCATTTTGTATTGTACAAGATGGGTGGTTCTTCCTTTTAAAGTCATGAAAGAAACTATGGCCTGGTATTTAGCAATCAAACCAAACCGAAGCTTTCTTGTGGTACTACTTACATTTTAATCTCGTTTTGTCATTGTTTTGAGTTAAATTAGACATTTCTTTCCGACTCAGTCTTTGAACTTGGCCACACTTGGCAAACAAAACTGGTTTTTACATTGTTCTTGAAATGAGACACATTAACGTGTCCACTTCCTTTACCAGAATCAATCATGATATCATCTGATGACAGGAGTTAATAAGTCTTGGCAATATTTCAGTGCGTAAATACTGTTTTCAAAGAAACTTCGGCTGATCTCGTGAACTCTTCAAACTGGAGTTAACAAGCTGTTTTCGCCATTTCGCTGAAAGCTCATTTTATTGCAACTAAATAATCCTGCCAACGCCGCATCTTTTTGAAGTTGCTGATTAAGCAACGGGAATTGTTTTGAAAGCATTTCTTCTTTGTTTGTCGTTTTATGTAAAACTTTTTTTGTTATCTTTAACTTTTAAGTCTAATGGCTGTTTTAAATGTCTGCCATTGTGATCATATGTATTCCGTACAGATTTCAGTGACGTCAAGTGATGAAGGAGTTGATAACGGACGTTTTTCTCTGGCGGATTTTCAATTGTTACAGGACTGGATTTTTTTCCCGCCAGACTGAAGGCAGCCTACTCAGCTTGGTTTCTGACGCAAATGCAACAGCTTGGCCAATATCTTTAAAGTACTTGTTTGAAAAAAGGAAAAAAAACCCTTGAGATGAAAACTTAAAAGTAATATCAAGAGTTCCGCAATGCAAACTGATAAACGATACTGCCAAACTCCACTCTATAACACTTTGCTGCTTGGCGAAACTTCCGCGCATAATTTCCGTGATAAGCAAAAATATAAATATTCCCCACCTTGGTTACTACGGCGCCAAAACGTAAGCAAATAATTGCTTTCTAACTATTAATTTTACCAACGCTGTCATCTCTAGATTTCTTTCCGAGCAACGGGTGCGCTTTTACAGGACGACCTCCAGGCTACCTGTGAGTGACTAGCGGTTTGCATTGGCACAACTTTAAGTATTGAATTGTAACCCGACCCCTGTCAGTAGCTTTATATTAAGGGTATCAAGCTCAATTGACGAATATCTGTGTGGCAGAAAATAGAGTAATTTCAAAACTGTCTTCTCTTTTAACTACGATTGGTCTGTTAAGTGGGCTAGGTCTACCGCACGGCCAGGTAAAATTTGAAACTGTTTTTGTCGCCCAAACGTCTCTTGATTTATTGCCAAGTTTACTTAACGCCAAATTGCTAAATAATAGTTTTCTTTTTTTTTTTTTTTTTTTAGAAAAAAAAAGTTGTCACGAATCAAAACATACTAACGACCTACGAATTTACCATCTGGGCGTCAATTATATATATCGTGCTTTTATTGTAACGAATAATTTCAAAAGCGAACAAGGCGTTTAAAGTTTGTATGTAATTTTATTCACATTTCCTTTACCATTACGGCTCTTAGCCTAGGGTGTCTGGAAAACCCGGATAGCGAATAGCGAATAGTCGCGAATAGCGAATGGCGAATAGTCCCGAATAGTGCGAATAGTCTCGAGTAGTGCGAATAGTGGCGAATAGTGACGAATAGTCGTCAATAGTCACCGCTTTAGATCTAATATCCAGCGTTAATTAATTATCCAAATAAGCAGCAGAATTTCAGTGAATTTATTACCTTTTCTTCTCCGGACTCAGGCTAGTAGGCTGTCCATCGCCGACATTAAGAAAACAGAAAACATAAGGATAACTTATTAAAGACGTATTTACGCTTTTGAGGCGGTTAAAACAGAAGAAATTACGTTTGAAACACCTTTTGTCCTGATAAGCGTCTGTGCTTTTTAGCGGGAAAATCCCATCTTAAACTGCTACGAGGTTGACTGCGAGATACTGGGTACCCTATTTGTTACTATTTGCCACTATTCGCTACTATTCGAGACTGTTCGCCACTATTCGCACTATGCGTACTATTCGCTATTCACTATTCGGGACTCAGTATTCGCTGTTCGCTATTCGCGATTGTTCGCTATTCGCTATTCGGGTTTTCCAGACACCCCTTAGCCTTTTGTTTTCAGTCCGGGTTAAGTGGAGATGTTTGTTTTTTTTTTTCCCTCGAAGCCAGACTGTTTATGTCTGATTAGGTAACACAGCAAACTTGTAGCCACAAAAATGGAAATTTCACTGCTGTCGTTCACGCTCTCTATGAAAGCCCGACAAAATTTGATAATTTCATTTTTTTTGTTGTTTTGCAGAGAGCGGCTGAGAAATGTTTCGAGAATTTTGCCGGCCCACACGCACAAAGATATTGTGCTGATCACACATGAAAAACCTTTTGTTATTGAAATTCGTTCTGCTTTCGCATTCGTTGGCCCAATACTCAAAAACGTTTCTGTTGGCATGGCAAAATCCAATTGCATAGTCATAACATAATTTTTGTTTAAACAATCGTAGAAGTGACTTTACTCTGAAGCGAACGTTCCACGAGGGAACGAAATCCTCCAGGATTTTCAAGGTCCCGTCCAAACTATGCCGGAGAAATTTGAAAACGCAGCAATCACCGGTCATTTTTAAGTTGTGTTTGAGGAAAACTCTGGCAGAAAGATCCCATGATTTTCGTGACGTCATCATCTTTTTCGTAAGCCTCTGTTCTCTAAATTTTTCCGTCCATACTAAAACCCAAAGCCGGCGTTTTTAAATTCCTCCGGTTTGAAGAGCGTTTTCGAAAAGCTTCGTTTTCGTGACGGATTAGTGTGGACGGTAGGCCTAACCGCAGAAATAAAGCTGCGTTTTCAAATTTCTCCGGTGTAGTGTGGATGGGGCGTCAGTCGAATTTCGTACTAGAGCAGTTTTCTAAAAGAAACTAATCACTTTTACCAATCACAAAGGACACAGACAATCCAGTGAACCAAACTGTAGCTGACGCAAAGCGCGGGAAAACGTGGGTGAGCGAGTCACGATTGGTTTTGGTTTTACTTCGGAATAGATGACAAAGTGGCGCGAGTCTTTTAAGCCAATATCTAGGAGGGGGTGAATTGGGGTATGCAAATCCTCCGATCCGTGCCTTTTTTCCACCACATCCGCAGATCCGCCGATATTTTTGTTCAAATCTGACACCGCAACCACATCCAGAAACAGAAATGTAAAAGTTCAAAGGTAAACTGGTAAATGGGAATGCCATTGTTAATTTCGCACAAATAGTAAAGAAGGCAACATGCTTGAAGACTATAACACAGTACAATTCCAATAACACTGCTTTGTTGGAAAAAAGAAATAATTTGGATGAACTCAATAACATAACGACCAAGGCTGAAAAAAGATCTATGATACAAATTTGGTTTAGGACCCAAGACCCGAACATCAAGACAGGCACAATCCGGAATCCGCGCTAAACTTCACGGCTGCTCCACGATCCACTGTGTTTTCAAAATCAGCGAATCCGCTCGATTTACCGCAAAAATCCACAATCCGTGCACTTTTTAAGGCCAAATCCGTCGATCCGAAAACCTATTCACCCCCCTCTTCTAGCACAGCAATGTAAAATCAAAGCAAATGCGACTTAATTATTTTCGACACTAAACTGAAAACCGCTATGACAAGGAACATAGCCAAACAAAAGGTTTCTAAACATCTAAACACTATACATCTGAGTAAATGTCTTGGACGTCTTCTACAAACTGAAACTTGAAATCGGACCAAATTAAACTAAGCAAGCATTTGGAATTGAACAACTTTATCTGTGACACCAATATATATACTGAATAGATCCAGCCAGTCGAGGGATTCCAAGGTAGCAAATATACTTTAATGTTTTTAAAATCCATAAGTTGTCCTTCACAGATTGTTTGAGAAAATATATATATAGTACAATTCTAAAACCGTGACGTTCTGCACTGTACAGACAGATATCAACTGACAGAGGTTTGTATAATATTTCACAGCTTAGAAGTGAGTAGGAGATGTCTCATGTCCCTAAAACTCTCTTCGAGTGAGTCTCGCCACTTGTTCAAATCTGTCACAGCGGAGTTTGTAAACGTCGCAAGAACAAAATTAATCCTGTAGAAGGAAGATCAGTGCACACAAAGATAAATTTCACCTTCCCAATGCTCCTGTTAGGGCCCTATACAAACTTTTCGTTATTAGTTGGAGGGTTTTTCTCACATGTTAAATCAATTTTCCCCACTCAGTTTCAACTTGCTTTTCCGCGCTTGGCACCGGTTCAACTTCTTTGTTTGTTTGTTGTTTGTTTGCTTGCTACAGTTTGCTTGTTCGCTGGTTTGATTATCTTTTTAGTGACCTTTTTTAGTGGCCTTGTTGTGACGGATAAAACGCCACAAAACAATAGGGAGCTTAAAGCAACGACGACGTCGACGCCGAGGACGACGCCTAGTCAAAAATAAATTTATACTCTACCAGCGAACTTCGCAACTGTTTAGATCTGTTCAATACGCCAAAAAAAACAAAGGTGCCAGGCTAAATATACAATGACCGCGTTCAGTTCCAAATGGAAATACGAAACATTGGCCGTCGTCGTTCGCGTTCCTCAGGCTACGCAGAATTTGGTCATTTCACGTTCTTGTTTTGCAGAGAACGACAATTAAATGTAGAAAAAGTTATAGCGCACACGCACAGCCATTGTTTTCCTCATTAAATCTTTTCTGTAGTGGTGTTCTCGTTGCCGTCGTCGTCCGTCGCGGCTTGCTTAAGCTCCTTAATAAGAACTCAAGGAAAAACTTGTGGTAACAACCGGGAAGATGCGCCCGCCAATTTGCTTAATTGGCGGGAAAAAAAAAATCAACCTTTTCTCTGATTGCTTGAGGACAGGTTACAGGAAATTTTGAATAAGAAACACGCGTTAACACATTCAAAAGTACGATGGACCTCAGTGTATCCACTAAAGTAACTCACTTGTTATCCTCGATGCTATAAAAAGCTCCGTAACCGTCTTTTACCATGGCGGCGCACCCACCGATAATTTTCGAAAATCCCACACAGCTTGTTGAAAGGACGAAGTTTCCACCTCCACCACTACACAAAACACAACAAACGATAAACTCTCAGCAGAGGTTAAACGACATGATTTTCCAGTCAGCCATAATAGACTGACAACAACTGATGGTTAAACTGCGTAGGAAGCGGTTCTGAGGACGTTCACTGGAGCAAAACACCTCAGTGGGGGTGTGAGGAGCGCTATTTGGACACAAGTCCCAAGAAAATGAGATGGTGTGAGATTACATGCGTTCTGGTTGGTTCATAATAAATTGAAAAGTTTTTTTTATGAGGTTCCATAACAAAATCACAAGCGGGAGAGTAAAATTCACTCTTGTAGTTCCGTCTCTATCAGTGATCGGTTTACTTTTTGACTCATGTTGATTTTGTGTCCAGTTGAACTAAAACATCCAAATACCTGGCCGTCCAAGCTTTCTCCGTGAAGATAGCAGGAGTTGGCATTCCTAGGCATGAATAATAAGAAAAAAAATCAGGAAAATAATGAGCGGTTTACTTTAATTGTAACTGATCTGCGGGCTCTGCCACATGGAACGAAATTAGAGTAGAACTGTTTTACGTTCCGCTTGCGAGTTCGACAAAGCGAGGTTCAACATTAGTCGTGATGAAATCTCTACCAACCATCTTCAAAGTACTACCGGTGGCCGGGCAACCCACATACACCCCGTGTCCGGGTGGGGAGGAAGAGGACAAACTCCCCAAAATTTGAGAACTAATTTGGAATTCCAATAAGAAAGTAGTCCAAAATGTAAGGTAAATATTAATATCCTAAATCCCTCGTATGCAAATTCAGAAAAACATATTCCTCAAAAATCCTAGGCAATCGCTGAAATTTGTGCTGGTACTTTTAACAACTGGCAGGCGCCCGTTTCTCGAAAGCTCCCGGAAACTTCCGGGCCCGAAAAGTCATTTTTAATTCATCTGTATCTAAAAACAGAGAGGTGTATACGCCTGAAACTTCTTGTATGAAGAGAACCTCTGTTCATATTATGAATATGTGAATAAAACAGCTCTGTGATCATAAGGTTTGAGATTTTGCTATGGCTTTCCGGGAGCGAAAACTTTTCGGGATAGAAACGGGCCCCTGGTCTAAAACGGAAGAATTTAAGAACTGCATTTCTCTAACTAAAGATGGAAAAAAAGATTGAGCCGCTGTCTGGTTGACAATTACTAGTAATAACACTTTTAATAAGGTACTTTAAATCGATGTCTTCAGCTTCAGGCAAAACATTATGTGTCGTTCGTACTGAGAAAGACCTTCTTAACCCTTTAATTAATACAAGTGGCAAAGCAACTGGTAAAAGAGTAGTTGTATAAGGTCACGCATCATTCGTCACGCAAGAGATCACGGAAACACCAGTTGTCAGAGACACCCATTGAGTTGCATTTGAATTGTAAATTGCAGACGAAAAACCAAAGCGAATAAAAGTAACATTTCGTCGCCAAAACCATAAAGAAAACTGTCGAATCAGACATATGATATATTAAACCTTTTTTTTAATTCGTGGAAGCATGGATAACGATTAAATGTATACGGAAAATTCAATTGATCTGATTGATTTGGCGACACAGAAAACGACCGTCAAACAAGTGGCCGCTTTACAATGTTGGGTATTTAAATTTCACGATAACAGATCTTCATTGTTTACGAATGTCAAATATGTCGATTCACTGCCAAAGTACGAGCGGTAATTTACAAAGTTGCTTTCTTATCGATCGATTCACTATATTTCACTGATCACAACCCGTGTAAATTTCGAATAATGAGATAAGGAAAATTGTGTGACAAGACTCGAGTCACGGCTGGAATGAAATGAACTATAACTGAAATTAGTTTCTTTCCTAGCTAGATGTCAACAGAAACTAGTAGGTGGACATTTGTTAGCTAGCAGGAGCCCAAGAAGATAATTTCTCTGTTTCTCATTGTAAAAATCAACCGCTCAGAATGCGATCACCTCCTCCAATTCCCCTCTAATGGAGGAAGAGGAACGGTCATCAATCGCCGCCGACCGATTGTCATGAAAGACAAAGTCAACGACGTGCATCGCGCTCTGAGGTGACCGCTTCGCATCGTCATCACGGTTGATGGTGTTGTCTTTGTTAGGGTACAAAGACGGGACGCGTACTATAGAAATGATCCTAGTAAGTACGGTCTTAACTCCAACTACCTTCGCCGAGACAAGTCATTTTACCTGTTATTCCCACGTATGTGGGAGAAAAATGTCTGAAATAATTAAGCGCATGCGCATTCGCAAAAACCACTAAAAAATTTTGTGATCGATTGCAAACTTCTTGTTTTGGGAACGCAACAGTTTTAATCGTAAAACACAACGACTTCCACTAATATATATTTCTTTCCAAAACCGAAGCTTGGCTTACAATAATATTCGAACTACAAAAATGGCAAGCAAACAGCAAAGCAACTCAGTAAACGATTTATTTCAAAATTTTGGACAAAACGGATCCGGGTGTGTTGTGTCTTTGATGTCTCGTTCGCTAAATAACTCGTATTCCTGCTAAATGCAAATCAATTTGTACTTCAGGTCCCCGTTGAACGCTATCTACCGGATAAGTGTTAACAAAACAAACCACGCTATCCGCTGGATAGTGATTTATCCAGTGGATAGTGTTATCCACGTTTCAAACAACCTGGGCCAGTTCTCTTGGAATGTCGACGGCATTCTGCTCTGGATAGGACTGGATATCTTCTTCAAGCTGTGTGTTTTCCTCAGCTTAGGTTTACCTTTAATAAGAAGCAACCTATAATTATCACTGAATCACACGTAAATACTGTATGATCACCTTCTGAGGCAGCAATCAGTTGCAATCCCAGCAAATGACGATCAATTCCTACAGACAGAAACAAAAAAAACAAATATTATATCACAACCTACTTTTAAATAACTCTCTGATGACAAGTGAAAGAGAGTTAATGAAAATCAACCCTCTGATCATCTACGAATATGACTCGATTGACTGGGTTGAAAATTTAATACTACTGTGACGTTTTCTTTCGATTTTCCGAAGATTTCCGAAAATTCTTCAAAAGTTGTCCCGCAGCGCCCCAAACGATTTCGATCATTTTCCGAAAATTTCCGAAGATTACCGAAGATAACAGAACATTGCCAAAGATTTTCGAGGAAGATCCGAAGATGTTTTGATCATACACCAACAAATTTAGGTACAGTTTAAGGGTCACATGATATCCAGTGTTACGTCATCAATATCATCACAGTGAAATAATTGTAATTTTACAGGGCTGGAAATCCTTGTAAAACACCGCAGTTAATATAGTAAAAGATATTTATGAAACGAAGTTATAAGAACTTCCACGTTGGCGTTAGGACTGTAGAAACTTTCTGTAGAAATCCCTCTCTCCGCACAGTTGTAAGATATTGGACAGAGCACAAAATGAAAGTTCAAAGAAGTGATTTAGGGCAGGTTGAGTGGCTGGTTTCTCATGTAAAGAGTGAAAGACGTTGAGTTTTCCCAAAGAAAGATACATGTGACTGTGTGAAACGTACCTTGGCCATCGACGGCTTCTTTCATTAGCTTGATATGCTTCTTGCAGGCTTCGCGAAACAATCGCAGCTTCCTCAAGTTCTAATTACAAAAGCACCAACGAAAGAAAGGAACAGGCATGCAAGGTTATTTTCTGTAAAACGTATTGCTTGTGTCACGGAAAAGGTAAGGTAAGGTAAGTCTGTGTCAAGTCAGTGACCCCCAGGGGTGGCCCACAAAGCCAGAGCTTATCCCGGTTTCTGTAGCATCAATCGACAAGGAGTATTTCTACTCCTCCTTGGATGGGATTCTAGAGTAGTCCATCGCAAGGTTACCCCCTAGTCGCCAGTAACCATTTACACACCTGGGTGGAGAGAGGCACTGTAAGAGTAAAGTGTTTTCCCCAAGAACGCAAGGCAATGACCCCGGCCAGGGCTCGAACCCAGACCGCTCGATCGGGAGTCCAAGCGCGGGTCCCCCATTAGATCACCGTACCTCCACACTGAAAAGCCCAAACACACTTACATCAGTGTTTTCATCGAACATCGCTTTACACCACTCTGTTGCCTCTACAGTACAAGACCGAACCTGTGATTAGATAGAAGGAACCAACTAAGTTTTAATACTACTCAACTTTACTCGAAAACATAAAAAACAAATTATAGTCTTCGGCGATTGCAGGCTGAGCAAACGGTTTCGAGCGCTCGAAAGATTCTGTTGCATCTAGCGGCGTCTCGCAAAGGTAAGCCAATCAGAAGAATCCCGCTGTCAGCTCAGCCAATTAGCTGCGAATATCATCTTCAAATATATTGGTTCACTTCACATTTTCGCGGTTTAAAGCTGCAGTTTTCGATATCTTTAGTTAACCAAAACTCATCGATTCCAGTGATCAACTTCTATCTATTCCCCTCGATCTCGCAACTTTCGGTGCAATACTCTGAGCACCAACGAAAATAGACCAACCAATTTTAAGATGCTTACCGTATCAGTCCGTCCGTGATAAAACTGTCGCGTCTGAGCGGTCTCATAAGTGGGTGCAGGTCTGAAGAATAACAAGCCACAAGTTGATCGCAAAAGAAATCACATCTTAGCCGTGTTTAAACGGCTGCTCATCAAATAGGTAAAGTGGCAAATGCTTGTAAAAACATTTCATGTCATCGGTTAAAGCGGGCCAAAGCAAAAAAGAGCATTGTCTTCCGTTTGCTGTCTGTGGTCCAAAAATTAGGTTCCCTGTCCAATTAGGCGACGCTGTTTTGTTTGGGAATGAAAAGTCACAGAGTTTTGTGGGAAATACACAACAGACGCTTCACAATTAATGCAAGATGACAAAAGGCGGTTGTTTTTCTTTACTTCTAATACTTATCTATACATCTATACTACATGTAATTCAGTTTTTTCTGGAACATTTTTAAGCTTGAACAGTATCGAACTGGAACCTTCATTTTTTGCGTTTCCTTAGAAACGACAGAAATAGAAAACTGCAGTACCTACACATTAGCGTCCGAATAGGCTTTCGAAATACCAGCTGGGGCTCATTTCTCGAAAGCCCCGGAAACTTTTCAGGCCCGCAAAGCCATTTTTGGTTAATCTGTGTCTTAAAACAAACAGGTGTATACGCCTGAAACATATTGTACGAATGTAACCTCTATTCAGTCGTATTAAGGATATGTGAATAAAGCAGCTCTGTAGTCATACGGTTTGAGATTTTGCTGTGACTTTTCGGGTGCAAAAACTTTTCGGGACCTTCCAGAAACGGGCCCCAGGTCCTCACAGCCCAAGGATTTAATATTCAGGGGATCAAAACAAAAACACACACGAACTTACTTTCTGTGAAGTCTGTAATAAGAGAGTTGAATAGCCATTTGTACAAACGTGTCTGGATGAATCTTGTAAGGTTTTATAAATCCTTTACCATACTGTTGTGTGGAGTGTGCTATAACGTTCACAGTAGCAGCCTAGAATTAATAAAGTAAACGTGCCATTAGTTTCATATCGAAAACCGAGCACCTTCATAATTCCATAGCTACGTTTTCCTATGTATCACGCTGTACACGAAAAACCTCATTGAGTATGACTAGCGGGGTGCTTCAAAAAAATAATAACTCGGGATATGCAGCATTGTGATTAACCTAACATTGCATTCGCTTGTACCAGAAGTTGATTATAAATACATTTAGTATTAATCTACTAGCGTTCNAATGCGAGAATAACTTGGGTTATTATATAATCTGTGATAGATAGTGAGTAGCGTAGCAGTGTGCGCTTGTTAACAAAATGACGGCCGCTTTTTGGCGTTTTCGAAGTGTCTCTGAAGAGGATTCAGATAAAGTTTTGAACGACTAGTAGATTTGTAAGATTATTCGCTCTCGATTTCTATGCGTGATAGTTGACGAGGGCGCAGCCTGAGTCAACTGTCTCGAGCTCATAATCTAATTGCTTAATATAAATTATATGAAATCATTAAAATAAGGCCCGGTTCATACGTCGCATTTCTGCCGTGTCGAATTCAATTCAACGAATTAAATTCGACAGAAATTCGACGTCTGAATCGGCTGCCGCATTACTGCCGCACGTGCGACTGGTCTTGTCGCATTATCCGACAGAAATGCGACACCGATTCAGACGTCGAATTTCTGCCGTTTCGAATCTAATGCATGCATTATGTTAATGTACTGAGCATGCGTAAATGTTTTCTCGCCACAGAAAAAGAAGAAACTTGGCCATTCTCGACCCAATGCAACCTGAATATATTGCAACACATACTGCTCGGTTGTCAGCCTTCTCCTTTTCGTTCCATTGGCGGTCAATTTTTCGCAAAATTAAAGTCCTTCGTCGCTCGGTATTTTCATCCGCCATCTTGAATACCCCACATTTAAAACATTTTCCGCTGGCCGACATACCGGACAGTACAAATTCTGAATTAAGTGCGACACAAGTGCGACGTATCAATCGACAGTCGCATTTTTGCCGCACTTAATTGAATTGAATTCGACACGGCAGAAATGCGATACATGAACTGGGCCTAAGCTGGAGCCCATTTATATACCCAGGTGGAGTGAAACTGCATGTTCGACATGAAGTCGTCTACAAATGTACAAATGACGACCACGCCTGTTCGTACGCATTCACACGAATACTGGATTGTTTATCGGAGCTTCCTAACGCATAAATAAGGCGAGTACAGTAATCGCGTTTAACAGGAGCCAAAATTTCGCTCCTTCGGGTTGGTTTCGCCCCTTCGGGTGACGTTAACGAAGAATCGTTCATTTTCGCTGGCGAAAGGAAAGGGACGAAACATTACCATAGACATTGTGAGACTTATCTTCGATAAGAAAACTTAATTCGAGCATCAGTTTTGAGCAATACTCACTGAATATACTGTCACGTTAAGTGAAACACAAATTGTTCAAAAACATTGTGACTACTGGAACAACTTCATCTTGAAGCAGGGTTTTTTGTTGTTGTATTGTTGTTGTTGGTTTGTTTGTGTTTCTTTTCTAATTACTTGAACTGACCAGGCTGCGAAACAGACAGTCTCCGCCAACGGTATAAAGACGTATTATTATTTTGTCATTACTATATTCGTTATTTCATTTTTCTAATTATTATTCTATTAATGTTATTTTCAGAGTCACACTCCGGCTGCATCGCAGTCTAGAACTGACATAATTTTAAACATTAACTTACCAGTTGCTGATATTTTTGAACAGCATCTTCAACAGCACGATGAATGACATCATCAGCCTTAAACACCAGCTCTTGAGGTGCAAAATAGTTTTTGATCTCTGAACTCCCCTGATGGTAAAATCAGATCGTTTAAGTACTTGCACGATACTTCAAACACTTGACTATTTATTTTAAAATCATAACTTGTTTAAATAAAGGCCAGATGTCAGTTCCAACTGTCGTTCAGTAAGTCCGTCCGCCCGTCCGTCCGTGCGTCAGCTAGTCAGCCGGTTGGTCAGTCCATCAGAAGGATAGTCGGGAGATTGGTTAAGCAATTCTTTCAAAGTGGTGCTAGCTCTTTAGTGTATGGATGAAACGTCAAATGAAAACTACTGAGCAGTAAATACGAAATAACGTCGTAGGAGAGACTCGGCTCTGACAACACGAATCAAGATGGCGGACAAAATTAAATTATTTCTTTTTCGGTATCGTTATTGAAAAGTTCTCCAAAACAGATCAAATGTTTCACGAAAAAGGTAGTTTTAGCTTGCTCGTCTAAAGCAATGGTCAATTTAAAAAAAAAGCAAGTCACCAATGACGACGACGCAGTTGTCCGTTTCGTAAACGGTCGATGCCAATTTCGCGACATTTAGAAATTTTTTAGTTATCAACGAATTTTTCTCTACGAAATTAAAGAAAAAAGACAATTTGTAAGTAACCACCCAGTATCGAAACCGAATCCTCTGTTTCCTAACATCCCTCTTCTACCACTACACTACCAGGTTGATCCGCCAAATCTCCGCAAAATTTAATCATAGAACGTGACTTTCTTGAATATTAATGATAGAGTTGCCCCAACCATCAAATAAAAGCTAACCGCAAGCAAACCAGTGTGAATATGAACAATCAAGCATTTGACGAGTGCGTTTTACTCAATCAACAAATTAAAACCAGTTTCTACCTTGTCCAGGCCTATACTAAAGCAAATATGGCATCGTCCATTCTGAAAGGCTTGGTTACCAATGATGGCATCGACCGTTAAAAATGGCATTGGCCGTTCACGAAACGGAAATCAGCGACGACACACCGCCGACGCACCACTAGCGTCACACTACCGACACACCACTGACGCACCACCGACACACTGCCGACGCATTACCGACTCGCCACCAACGCACTAAAGACGCACCATCGACGCCGCACTGCCGACACATCACCGAATCGCCACCGACGTACCGCCGACTCACCACCGATGCACTGCCGACGCACCACCGACGCATCTTGTATGCGATGAGAACTGAAGCACAGTGGTCGATCCGTCGGCTAACAGTCGGCCGCCTTTTGGTTAACTGTCGGCTGATAGTCGGCAGACTTTCAGTTTAATGTCGGTCGATTATCGTTGGTATCTTATTCCACTTTGCCTCCGTGTAATTCACTGCTTGCTTTCCTATATTGTAGTATTAAATCGTTCTATTTCTTTTCTTTATTTTTTTTTCCTTTTCTTTTCTTATTTCTTTTTTTTTTATTATTTTTTTTTTATTTTGGCGTTTTGTTTTGTATCGTATTTTCTCCCTGTTACTGCAGGCTGACTATACATGAGACGTGAGGAAAACTCAAGGGTTGTAATAAGTCTGGAGTTAGCCTGTGCAAAATGGCCTTAAAATCCAAACCAACAGTATACCATTTTCAACATCACTTCACGTAGTCTATATTAAACCTACCTGCCACTCTCCTCCTTTTTCTTCAAGATATTTAACAACCAAGATAATGGAATCTATTTCTACAACACCATCAAATGGAGCATGCTAAAACAAGACGGAAGAACACGTAAACACTTGTTCAACCATGAAAGTCTGGACTACGAGTCCCTCTTTCACTTATTCTTTCGTGCGTGGCGTGAAAGAAAATCGCCAGAAAAAAAATGACCCTCGATCCTTCGATCCCTGGCCGGGGATATTCCGTGGTGTGTTCTTGGGCAAGACTTTACTCTCACGTCAGTGCCTCTCTCCGTCCAGGTGTACAATTGGGTACCAGCAAATTTAATGCATCCCATCCAGGGTGAGCAGAAATACTCCTAGTCGCTTCATGCTACAGAAACCGGGATACGCTCCACCCTGACGGGTCACTTGGCATGTATACAGACTTTACCTTTCCTGTTGCGGCATCCATTTGAGGCCATGACCATTCTTTTGATGATTGACAAGGCATGTTCACAGGCAAGGGATCCACTGGTACTCACTTTTGCCTTGGTACTCACGCCTTTGCCTTGAAACAAATTCTGAATTCCCCAACCCTGTAGAGTCTACATTATGTGTCCTCGATTCTTACAACTACACAGTTGTTACCGACGGCAACAAAAACCGTTCAGTGCTTGACTTTCATTAGACTACGAATAGTCCTTCTTTCGCTTAGTCCGTCGAACGAAGACCGTTTAACAAATTGAAGTCAGTTTTTCATGCGTCTGTCCTGTTATTGATCATGAATTTCGTCATAACATTGTCAAAGTAGCTGTAGAAATCCTGGGGGCGAGAAGCGCGCGAAAGTGGCCATTTTTTCCTCGCGGTTTATTTTTTACGATAACTGGAGAAATTCTCGCGCGCTAATTGGCTATATTTCATTGTCAAGAAGAGGACAGGCACGAGAATTTATAATTTATAGGACGGGTCAACGAGCGAGAGCAAACAATTTGACAATTTGTTATCGTAAAAAACAAATTGTCGTCGGTTTTTCATGCGTCTGTCCTGCTATTGACAATGAATTTCTTGATAACATTGTCAAAGTAGTCTTCGGATCCACTCGCCTACTGCCTCGTAGATCCACAGCTACTTTGACAATGTTATGACGAAATTCATGATCAATAACAGGACAGACGCATGAAAAACTGACGTCAATTTGTTAAACGGTCTTCGCTCGACGGACTAAGCGAAAGAAGGACTACTCGTAGTCTAATGAAAGTCATGCAATGAACGGTTTTTGTTGCCGTCTGTAACAACTGTGTAGTTGTAAGAATCGAGGACACATTATGTAGACTCCACAGGGTTGGGGAATTCAGAATTTTGTTTCAAGGCAAAGGCGTGAGTACCAAGGCAAAAGTGAGTACCAGTGGAACCCTTGGCTGTGAGCATGCCTTGTCAATCATCAAAAGAATGGTCATGGCCTCAGATGGATGTCGCAACATGAAAGGTAAAGTCTGTATACCTGCCAAGTGACCAGCCAGGGCGGAGCTTATCCCGGTTTCTGTAGCATGAAGCGACTAGGTGTATTTCTACTCACCCCTGGATGGGATGCATTAAATTTGCTGGTACCCAATTATACACCTGGACAGAGAGAGGTACTGTGAGAGTAAAGTCTTGCCCAAGAACACAGCATCGAATGCCCCCGGCCAGGGCTCGCACCCGGACCGCTCGATCTGGAGATGAGAACATTAACCATGAGGCCACCGTGCCTCCACACAACAGGTAAGAGTATGATGAAATCAGTTGTATATTGCAAGATTACATGGCAGTTACACTGTACTATGAAAAAGTATGTAGGAAAAAAGAGTCACTACTTGGTAACCTTTGCCCTATAGAAGAACAAGGTTTGGTTTGAGAAAGCGGAACCCTCAAGATAATCAAGGTGGAAAAAGCTGGTTTCAACTGGTTGTCTAGGTCCAAGGTAAATTGCAAATTGTGTTTTTGAAAATACAGGGTTTATCAGTGAACTTTAGAGACTGAAGCATTTTTATGTTTTAAAGTATTATGCTGATTAAATTTTCTCGTTAAAACACTTACATCGCACTGAGATGCCAGTCTTCCAGATTTAAAGACCAGCACACTTACAGCCTTGTCAAACCAACGATTTTTAGAATCACCATGTATAGCATGCTTACAGACCTGTCAAGGAAAAAGAAACATCACTCATGTAGAAGAATTTTTCCAGTCTCTATATATAGGTGGTGCGAAGAGTGGTGAAATTGATTGGCTTTTATCAGTCTTTTTCTACGAAGGTGGGGCGGGAGGCAGGGGGGGAGTGAGAGGCATGGGAATTTGTTGTAACATGTTGTTATGTGTCATGTACGACATCATGTTTTATGTTAGCCATTTTTGAGGGGGTTTCGGTTAATTAGAATTTCTCTCACAAAGTAAGGTGGAGTATTACTGAGGCTTTAAAAAATTGTCAGTAATTTTTGCTGTGGATATTCTCAGTAGCAGATGCAGAGGAGTTAAAAAATGGGTGGAGGAGGGGGGGGACCAAGACCTGTCTGCCTCTCATCCTTGATTGCTAATAGGTGATATCAACCTGTATACAATTATAGGTGATGTCAGACTATTCCTATCCCTAATCTCGGCAGGAGTTCCTTGAGTACTCTTGCTACAACCAAAATCAAACAACGCAAACTTGTCCTAAATAAAAAATAATATACCTGTATAATTGATCCTGTAGAGCACTTGATTTTTTTATTGAGTGCTGAAAGTACTCTGTTGATGTTACTTTGGTTTTGGTTTTAGGGTTTACTACTGTTTGAGATTAGCAGAGTAGTCTAATTGGTAAGTAATTGGTTTAGCTTTGGTTTTATGACGCTCAATTGAAATCCGCTCTACAACCCTTAGTTTGGAATCCATTATCATAATAATAATTTGTAATCCTAACCTCAATTTCTGTCTCAGGAACATTTTCATCAAGAACCAAGGCAAACAAACTTGTTTCAATGACATCAAGATTCTTTTGGTTATTTCTGTCCAAACTTATCAATCTTTCTCGCAGCTGTGAATGAATGACATGACAGAAAAAATATTAACAAATAAATGTCGCTGTTGTAAACCTCAAATCCAGCATGGTTTGGATAATAATTACCTTTATTTTAATATTTATTAATCATGGTTAAGACAAAATAAGGGATGACAGGGTGAATAGAGAAAACTTAAAATATTAGGTTCAGGTGAAATATTACAATTATATATTCTCCTGATATGTGTTGATACCTACATGTAATTTATGAACTCCGCAAAATTAAAGCAAATTCAATGGAACATAAAGTCGTGTTTTACATATCATCTATTCCCTTCCTGCTTGAATCACTAGATCGGAGGCAAACAATTCAGGCAGTAGACATAAATCTAATAATTTTCAACAATTCACTAGCTTTACTTGCAATTTTTACTTGAAATTAATAATATCTTAAAAGTATTGTTTAATTTTTTGCCACCAAGATATCCCACTTTCCTCAGTCAAACTAGTTTTACTAATTATTGTAATTCAATTAGGTTTTCCTACCTCATGCCAGGTATCCCGTCTCTCTCCAGTTAAACTGCCAATCCCTATCCCTGGTGAATTTGCTATGGACTGTATCTCTTGTAGCTGCCTGTTAAAATGAAAGACAGTTAGCTGAAAACAATGCTTGTACTTGTTATTGTAAGTTGTAATTTTTTCTTTTGGTGTCCTCTTCTGTGTTTTGTTGTTGTTGTTGTTGTTGCTGTTGTTTTGTATTTTAACTGTTAACTACATTCTGTACATAATAATTATTACCAATGTAGATGAAAACAAAATAATGTAAAATTAAATTTAAGGATTTAATAATGTAAAAAAATATATATAATAATAAAATTTGAAATTATATCATCCCATAAATCTTGAAGCCTGAAATAAAAACTAATGATTGAAACACTAATTTTTTTTATTTACCGTTCAATTTCAGGAGGTGTCAGTGGTTCCATATTTTCATCCAGTACTGTGCAGCTAAAAATCCTTCCTCGTGTTTGCACAATGATGTGACGTGGTGAGCTATGAGGGGCTAATGACAAAATTGACAAGATCATGACAAAAAAAAATTAAATATTTGGAAATGTCCAGTTCAGAAATGTATCAAATAGAGTTGGGGTAGATCATAGTTCATATCTGACCAGAATACTAGTAAGTGAATATTTGTGTGTTGTATACATGGACATGGAGATGCTCTCCTACAAGGTCAACAAACAATTGACTGAACCAGAGGTATTAAAAACAAGGGGAGGAGCTGGAGCAAAAAGTAGCTCTTTTTTAGATAATTGAGCAAGGGTACATGCAGATCAAAACCTTTAAGCCTCACATTTTTCAGCAGTCAGGGATGGGAGAGAGAAATTACTGTAGCAAAGAATGTACTTAATGCTGTACAATTTTATACATAATTTGCCAAATTATTTATCTTTATCAGTTATTTTTTAGAGATAGGACCCTCCTGAAAACCACCTCTAGGTGATTGGAGGTCTCCTATTAAAATATTAATAAATTTTATCACTATTAATTTATTGCTATTATTATTTTAATATCAAGAAAATAGCTGGATGCATTGAAACATATTTTATACCTGTAACAAAGCTAGTTCTCAGGGAGTCCTTTTCTTTTCCAGGAATTTTGCAACATGAGAAGAGTCGAGAAAATTGAAACATACATAGTGGAGTTGGGCCCATTCTGTCAATGGGTATTTCTCCCCTAAATTTGAAGAAAGCAAACAACAATGTTCACAGGTGGGTCGCAAAGGACATGAAAGCATCAGCGAGAGTCACTGTTGCCGAGAAGCTTCCATCAGGGTTGACCAAAACCTGGGTTGAACAGAGGATAGAATCCTTTTCTTTTTCAGGAATTAAGATTTGCAACATCATATCATAATATAACGATATCTTGTCATAATATCGATATTCATATCATGACAAAAAATATTGTGATTCACCGCTGCATCGGTGTATTGTTGCCACACTAATCGTAGTGGTCTGTACACAGCAAAATTCAGACTGGTAAGGGAACCAATAAGAATAGAATCCTCCATTTCATCGTGGACCAGTTCAGCGATATATATATAGAGGATATTACATGGTGGCGAGAAGATATGAATTTTATGTTCTCGTGGCAAGAACAATATCTCACGAGTGAGCTGTGCTCACTCGTGAGATATTGTTCTTGCCATGAGAACATAAAATTCATAAATTTGAGCTAATGTGTAATGCTCTTTTTATTATATAAACATGCTGATGATGGCATTTTTGATGCTTTTCCAAAGATTTCCGACAACTTTCCGAAGATTTCCGAAAATTCTTCAAAACTTGTCCACAGGTCACACGAACATTGCCAAACATTTTTCGAAAATTTTTGAAGATTGCTGCAGACTTTCGAGGAAGACCCAAAGATGTCTTGATCATTAACACCAACAAATTTAAGTACAATTTAAGAGACAAACTTGATATCAGTGAAATCATTGATATCTTCGCTAGTGATGATGTGGAAAATATGCCACCCGAGTCCTGGATGTGGTTTCATATGAATTTTACGAGTGCAGTAAAACACCTGTGTCTATATAATAAAATATATTATGGTATACATGTAGTACATACCTATATAGCCTCTGCCAAATTAAAAGGTATGCATGAGTGAAGACAGCTGCCCTCTTGATTTGGGTTCCATTCTGTACTGGCCACATGTCTGTAATGGGAAGGGGCCCTGCAACGTTGATCAACGGGGCAGAAGGGTATCGTGGTGTCAGATAAGCCAAATCTTCCCACCATGGCTCAAGCTTGATAGTAACCAAACAATAATGTTAATAAATATATTTATAAATTCATGAATGAAGGTCAAGTTACAATTTGTAGTACTTATCAACTCTGAATCATCAGGGCTAAAAAATACCTGAATTCCAGCTTGCCCTTGGGACAATTCAAGCAGCTCTCAAATTTTGCTTGCCCCGTGCAAGACCTAGTTCATTCTTTTAATGATTTAGTGGACAGACAGCTTGCCTGATCCCTTGCCCATTGGGCAAGTAAGAATGAAAATTTACTTGCCAAGAAGGAAAATCTACTTGTCCCAGACAACCGGTCGACACTTTGATAATGATGTGACTCTGTTTTGTATTAAACATCAATGACATAAAGGTACGCGTAATCTGTGAACTTGTACACGTCTGACAATTTTGAGTTTATTTTTATGCGTAATACCAAATACCCTTATCCCCCCCCCAAAAAAAAGAAAAATAATAATAATAATAATTAATAATTATACCCAATTCCGCATACTCTTGGCCCTCTTCTCAAGCTTCCTGTGAAGATCTTTACCAACCCCACTAGCAAATTCATTCACCAAAAACTGGGTTTGAAGAAACTCTTCTCTTGTCAGGTGAGGCTTGACTATAAAAAAATTAATAAATAGACAAATAAATAAATAAATAAACAAATAAATAGATAAATAAATAAACAAATTATTATAAATGTGTCAATTTATAGCATGTGATGACACTCAGCCAGGAATTAGAAGGAGTGGTGAATTGACTCTCACAAATTTTGTTCCTATTACAAACTGGCTGAATTTATATTGAGACAAATTATCTGTCTAAGACAAAGACAGGTACAACTATAGTTCATCTGCCTAAGATGGATAAATCATCCTAGAAGTATAAATTTGGTTTTTAGATGAATAATGTGGCCAAATTCATCTTCCTCTGATTCCTCTGTCAGCAAGTCTTCAAGAATGTGTAAACGCCAGATTGCTTGCTAGTTGCTGTACATCTGGAAATTATTAGGTGTAGGTTTGTCCTCTCAAAACAATACCAGTAAGTTCTATATAATATAAAGAAGAATCTTTTTTTATATCTTGGTCATTTCTCTAATAAGTAGTCATTAATCAATATTTTAGACAATTTTGCCACTAAATTAGTCAGAGTAATTTTCACTTATAATTTCCATTGGTTACCTCTGGTAAGTCAGCAGATGTAGTCACCATGCATTTGTTTTTGCACAGTTCAGGTTCAGTTTTGAAATTATAACACACCTACAGTCCGTTGAAAAATGTGGTTGAATTTTGCAAAATACCTTATCTGACTTCATACTACAAATACTAGGCACTTAAAGGAGCTACATTACGGTTTGCGCATCTTCAAAAGTTTAGGCGAAATCTTTCAAGGTTGTCATTTGTAAATGATAATCCATGTTAATTTATGCCATCCTTAACCATCCTTGTTCCTTTATGGCTTATCGTTATCTCCTTCTGGTGTTTTTCTATCTTAGAAAACTACTATTTTCAGGTTTCCTTCAATTTCATATATACACTGATTACTCATGGATATCTGTACCTGAGTCTAAATATTTTTCACAAGTCTGTGCTAATGATGGAACTGGAAGACTTGGGAGTTTGTCTTGCAGCTGAAAAGTCTTTTCTTTGTTTCCATTCATTGACGACACTAAATTTACAAACAAAAGGAAATTAAGTACAATTATTATATTATAACAATTGTAATCATCACCATGAAACATACATAAAGGTCAGAGGTTTGAGCTTACAATCATGCTTTTTCAAGGGAGAGGAGTACATATTGGTCTCATGATAAGTATATTGCTGGACTCTGGATCTTATGGCCTGGGTTCAAGCATAATTGCTTAAGAGTCACACCCTCGTACCAACCTCTTTGTTCCCTTTGACCAGGAGCTGGGAAACAAGCAACCCTGGAAAGTTCTTATTTGAAGTCTGAAAGTATTTGAATTTCCAGTTGAATTGCGCATGTCAAGCTGAAAAACACATGGCTGAATCAAGATGCTGGTGTGCTGCTTCCGCTCTTTTCCATTATTTTTAAAACCAATCAAAATCGAGCTTGTAATGGAACTTTCAAGAATCACTCATTCGTCAAGCCACCATGCACAGTAAGGAACAAAAACTCAAGGTACAAGGTCGCTAGGGTCACTATTTGTAAATATTTACATGTACACTTTTATTTAATTTCTCAAGAAACTGTTGCTCTTCATCAGCAGGCAAGTGAACCTCTGTCATTTATCGATCATAGTGAGCTTGAGCTTGATATTGAGCTTAACAATCAAAAATAAGCCTGCAAAGCTAACAGTTTGAGTGTTAGCCCACTATCAGACCTCATCTCTCCACCCTAGTTTTAGCTTCCTTATTAGAAACTAGATCATTGTATAGTTCAATTCAAGAGTTTACATTAGCTTAACCACTATGGTATATGAGCTAAACTTTTATTATTATACCATGCTCTACAAAATGGCAAGCGGATGCGCAATTTTTCAAAACTGTCAACCCCCACCACCCACCCCACCCCACCCCCAACTTCCCTCATCCAGTATGGCTGCCTGTGTAACGAACATGTTAAATGAACAACTTAACTGAACCGCCCGGCACTTATAATCAAGTACAGGGTTACTTTTAAATTCGTTTAGCATTTAGGTGCATTCATCATAAAAGGAAGGATATTTTTAAGCTTAAACCTTTACAAGCTTAAGCTTAAATAAACTCTGTTTCTTTTTCGCGGCAAATGGAACGGCCTCCAGCAGCCCAGCACTGTACAGTTTTCCGATGGAAGGCGCTTGACATTTCTGTAATAACTCTATAATACATTGGTTAGATTTGCTAAAAGATCCAAGAGAATCAGCCATATTTCTATCAAGGATCACACCAAACATTGCGTCGATGAAAATGAATCGAAGCTAAACAAACCGAGATGTCGTGACAAACCGGAGTGCCATTTTAAGCTCACCTGAGAGTCCACGGCTGGAAAAACGAAAGAATTTCAACGAGCTTCTTTCCACCGTTTTCAGTCCAAGTCGTAATGCCAAAGAATGCATGAATCTACACTTCACAATGGACTAAATCTACACAACACTTCACGACACTATGAAAACAACAACCGCGGGAAAACTGGAGAACACAATAGTGGACGGGATCTTCTGGAGGGACTGGGTGCGATTCCTACAAAAGCATGGTTTGGACGAACATCAGATACTCTGAAGTTTGCTGTAAGTTTTAACGTCTGTAAAAATCTCTATCGTGACGATCATCAGCGAATAATGGCTGGTTTAGAGATCCTTTCACCCGAAGGGCTGCGTCTCGATGGCCGAAGACCGCACGAACTTCGGAAGATTGTCTGTAGAATGGGAGTTTTCAAACAAGCTGATGGTTCTGCTTACATCGAAATGGGAAACACTAAAGCGTTGGCGACAGTTTACGGCCCTCATGAGGTCACGAATAAGGCGAAGATCCTTCACGATCGAGTGCTGCTGAACTGTCAGTTTAGCATGGCGACATTCAGCACGGGTGAACGAAAGAAGAGACCGAAAGGGGACCGGAGATCAACAGAGACATCCATGCTCATACGAAGGACATTTGAAGCAGCGATTCTGACACAACTTTATCCTCGATCGCAGATTGACATTTATGTACAGGTAATTTCGATAGTTTAGTTGTCGTCCACCCCATCCCACGCATATCAGCTCATATTTAGACATCGCCATCTTTCGTCAATCCTTCCTGGCATCCTCGAGCCAATTGGTCCCAAGTGGGAAGGGGTGGATTTATTTAACAAATTGACGTCAGTTTTTCATGCGTCTGTCCTGCTATTGATCGTGAATTTCGTTATAACATTGTCAAAGTAGTTGTGGATCCACAAGGCAATAGCCGAGTGGATCTGCAGCTACTTTGACAATGTTATGATGAAATTCATTGTAATAACAGGACAGACACATGAAAAACTGACATCAATTTGTTTTTTACCATAACAAGTTGTCAATTTGTCCATTCTTGCTTGTTGACGCATCGCATAAATTATAAATTCGTGTGTCTGTCTAGCTAAAGAGTGCGTGAGAATTTCTGCAGTTATCATAATAATGGTACTGATATTGACGTCACAGGATACTCTTTCGCAAGGCTTAATATAAGCTTATGGGTTTTATGCATTTTTGTAATGGTTATCCAGGTCATGCTAATCATTTTGACTCTATAAAAAGTCCATTTTGGCCTTATTGGATAACCATCAGAAAATGCACTTGTTAAACAACGTCAGGTGTTCATCATCCGAGTGTCCTCACAGTAAGATTTTCACAAAACCACATTTATGTGATTCTTTTTTCTTTATTTTATTTTATTTATCATTATCATTATTGTTGTCGTTATCATTATCATTATCATTATCATTATCATTATCATTATCATTACTTATACTATTATTTTCCTGTATTCCTATCTTTCTTCCCCCGTGATTTTTGGTAATTACTGGAGAAAACATAGCCTTGCCTCCCACTTCGTCAGCCTCCTCCAGATTATAAACATGGTACGGACAGACGAGCTTCATATACTCACTTGTGCAATGTCTGTCAGTGATCCATGGTAACGTTTCTGAAATGTGCGTTTCTCTTTACAGATTCTCCAAGCTGATGGTTCTAACCAGAGTGCCTGTATTAATGCCGCTACGTTAGCTCTTATTGATGCTGGAATTCCAATGAAGGACTATGTCAGTGCTTGCACTGTGGGTTTCATCAACGATAAGCCATTAATGGATATCAACTATTTGGAGGAGAGCTTTGGAGGACCACAGCTCGGTCTGGCTGTTTTACCAAAATCTGGCAAAATTGTCATGTTTCAGATGGATTCCAGACTACATGTTGACAACTTGGAAAAAGTTCTGGACTTAGCTAAGAAAGGATGCACTGATATACACATCTTACTAAGACAAACTGTACATGATTATTCTCAAGAATGTGTTGCTTCTTTTACTGGTAATCAGTAATTTAGTAATTGGGCTGAGTGGAGTACAATTCAGAGAGTAATTGTGCGAGTAATTTTAAAATCAGACGAGCATGAAGCACGAGGCTGATTTTAAATTACGAGCATGATTACTCCCTGAATTGTACAACACAAGGTCCTATTACTAATTAATTGTATCTAAATGTAACATAATTTGAAATTGAAAATGTCTTATGAGAACTAATCTCTTGACCAAAAAAGTCAGTTGTGCTTTTCTATAATTTTTAAAAACTGTAGTGAACATGGAAAAAGAAGCCATTCAAGCACATGTAATTGACGTGCGAATGGCGCATGTATCCGGTTACAAATGGTTGTAATTGAATACCTGTAATTGGGCACCCACATGATTGCATGCTGATTACATGTCAAATAGGCACACAGAGAACCAATCCCAATCAAGAATTTTTTTATAGGTAAGCGGAGCCCCATGCCCATATAGGAAAGAAAAGGAAACCGATAAATAGATTTTCTCATGGTTATCATGGCTAGTGGTATTGCTCGTGGGTGTGTACACATGATGGCGGTGGCAGTGGCAATGGAGTTGCCCAAGATGGCGTCCATACTCCAGCTAATAGGTTGAAAGAGACATGCAGCCTTGGTTTACATGTATAACGTCCTTTGATATTGGACATCCATGTGATGGTCAATTGACACCTGTCAAAACAAGGTATCCGCTGACCATATCACATGACCATATCGCGGGCTTACGTTTAGAGCTCATCAAGATCGAGTGGTTTTTTGAAGTTGACCGCCGACCAAGTGCTGGTTTTCGAATGGATCAAGGGCTCATGTCTGGTTAACTTGTTGTAAACAGGGCCCTGTTGTTCGGAAGCCGGTTAATGCTAACCCAGGATTAAAAGTTAACCGAAGTATAAAATGTTTTTCAGTGCTTTTGTTTTGTGTGTTTTGAGATTGTTGAAACTCAAAACAGAAGGCCAAATAATATACAGAAAACCTCACTGCAAAGTCACAAAACTCAAATGAAAATTCTTGCTTATCCAACTTATCCTGGGTTAGTTTAATCGGGCTTTGAACAACCTGACCCAGGAGTGCCGCCTTTAGGCTTGGCTAAATCTATACATTAGCTTTGATGTTTGTGGCTTGCCCTGTGGAAAATCTGGTGTCTTTATATAAGGCCTTGAGTGTGGACAGTGAAGTGACTGGGAGTATTTCTACCCACCCTAGATGGGATGGTAGTCCATTCCTGACATTAAACTTGCCAGTTTCCATTTATACACCTGGCTGGAGAGAACCTGTTGAGAGTAAATTGCATTGATAAAGAACACGACTGAATGGCAAGGGCTTGAACCCCAACGTCCAGAGTCAAGCTCTTCAGACAGTGAAGCTGTAGGTCACTGTGGCTTGGTTATCTCACTGACGTGTTCCGGCAGCTTCTCTGCTTGTATGATAGGCCCTAATTACGAGCAAGTTTATGAACTATGTGCAATTTCCCGTCATCCCGCCCCAATCTAGGCTCAATTTCCAGCCATTTTGAGAGTCCGGTTGTTTATCCTCCTCCCAACGTGGTGTGAGACAAGGAACGCAGGCTTACAAAACGGCTGGAACTCGAGTCTAGCCCCAATCTCATTCCCGCCTGGTTTGAGTTGCAGTTCTACGCATAACGTCCATAACGTTTGATTTTCTGTTTTTCACCATCCCGCCTGTCAAAATGAGCAAATCCCGCTCCCGCGGAAGTATTTTCATTCCGTATGAGGGTCTTTTATACTCTAGTGATTTATCGGTTTACATGTAGGCCTATTTTGAGTTTCATTTGCGGGTTCTTTCAATTATCGCCCGTTTTCGGGAAATCATAAATTTAACTCGCGGTTTTTGGTTTTTGCGTGTTTCCCGAAGTTGTTTTTGTGGCAGCCATGCAAACAGAAAGCCCTCAAAAGAGAGCCCCCAAAGGTCTCCAAACCTTGTACTTTCACGCTCCGTTATCAACATCTCGAGCAATATTTGCGTTTGTGAACCATTAGACTTCAAAACGTTTTGTTCGCTGGGAGTTAGAAACAATTTGTTCTGTTCTTAAGATCTTGTGGTCGTTGTGAGGAGAAATAACATATCATAAAGAATAGGTCACATTCGATATACAGTCGAACCTCTTTTACAACGGCCACCTTGGGGACACATGAAAGTGGCCGTTGTACAGAGGTAGCCGTTATGGAGATGGTAGGGATGTAATATGATGCCAGTTTGTTTTCGGGCGGGGGGGGGGGGTACAATATACTGACATGTAGAAAATGCTTACTGTAGCATAGAAATACCTACCACAATCTGAATCAAAATATACCAATAAAACAGGCACCAAACAGAAACAGAAATCAACGACGCGCGTTTCGTGACCTTTTGACAAATGGTTTGGTAAACACCATTCGTCAGTCGTTGGCCGTGGTGTAGATGTTCTTTTGGTATTCTAGGAAGCGCTTTAGTGGCCGTTGCCGTTGTGGAGATCTAGTCATTATAGAGAGGTTAAATTAAAAGTGAATCTATGGACTGTCCGCCGGGATGAAACAAAGTCGAGAGGTAGCCGTTAGTCACGGCTAACACGGCTCCTGAGCTTTCAGGACAAACTTCTATCCTATTCTCTTTTAAGAACTGAGGGACAATCTCTCGAGTCTGGTCTTCGGCGATCGAGCTTAGATCGGAGTACTCTCTTTATGGTTTGACCATTTCAGAAGGTTTTGGAATAATTATAGCCGGTTGGCGGGGGTGCAGGACACCAATATAAAAGGACGGGGGTGCTCGTCGGAAATTTTGAAAAGAACCCCCAAGAGGTACCGAGATCCTGTTTCATGGGCGTGGCTTGAAGTTTATTCTCCCCTAAGAGACAAAAATTCTTACATAACACATTATCTCCTGTCATATTCCATTGGCGACTCGAAGAAAGAAACGAGCGTCGACGAGCGCTAGAAAGTTGGACAAGGAACTCAACTTGGTTCATCGACTCCTCTTGTGTGGAAGGTTCCAAAAGATGAGCTACAGCTGTTCATGGGTTCCTATTCACGAAAACTTTTCGTACAGCTGGTTTTCACATGACGTCACTAAAATTCGAACTACAAAACTATTGATATTCCTGAGATTTTACTTAAATAATGTATAAGAGCAGCTGAAAACTAATATTCATACTAATTTTCGCTCCGAATGGGTTCTTGGTTTTGTGATACACGACGCTTGAATTTCTAAGCTTTTGCGTGACGCGGCATTTACATGACGGCCTAGAGAGCTGT